CCCTGATCACCTCTGTGAACCAGCCTAAACCTTGGTATGGTTAAAAGCTAAAAATCATTCGATCTAAGAGATCTAGAGGACACATAAGGCTGCAAGAGGTCAGACAAATACCCAGGAGCCTGTCTGTTCAGAGATTTGTAAGTCAACAATAACATTTTCAAATCAAATCTGAAGTGAACAAGAAGCCAATGAAGAGAGGCAAGCACAAGGGAAGTAGTTTCATGTATTCTAGTTTGTGTCAGAAGACAAGCTGCAGCTTTCTGGACCAATTGCAGTCTTGCAAGGCAGGTCTGACTAACTTCAACATATAAGGAGGTACAATAGTCAAGCTGGGATGTAATAAAAGCATGAATCGCCCATTCAAAGTCAGCCTTCACCTTAGAGAAAAGCCTCAGTTTGAAAAAAGACCAGTGCACAATTGAGCTAATCTGTTTTTCAAAGGTGAAATTAATATCAAATACAACCCCCAAGCTCTTGAGGTTTGCAACCATTTGTTTCCTCTCACCTCTTATTTCCGTCAAGTTCAGGTCTGAGCTTTGAGTGGGTCATTGCAGCACCTTGATTCTTTTCTTTTTCAGCCTTTCTGGTTTTGATTTGCTGCTGTGTTTGTTTCATGACCCACTTTAGGCAAAGCTTTATGTGTTGAATAAATGGCCACACATTTTACTCTGGAATACTTTGTGCGTGAGACTGCACTCAGAGACTGCAAAGTGCCTGCCTGGACAGTTCACCAGTGGCTGCATAGGAAGACCAAATCATCACTCCTCCACCACCATGCGTTGCAGTTGCTACGATGAGATTTTTGTGCTGATATGCAGTGTTTGGCTTTCTACAAATGTGACTCTATGCATTATGGCCAGACATCTCCACTTTGATATGTGCCACAAGTTGTGCGGTTTGTTCGGATGTAACTTTGCAAACTTAAGATGTGCCATGTTCACCTGGTATCGCTTCCAGACATGTCCTACTTGTTCAGTCTTTTTCTAATGGTACTGCCATGAACTTCACCATTTAACACTCTAACTGAGGCCTGTCAAGTCTGAGATGTAGCTTTGCAAATATCCAATCAGCTTATACATCAAATATGATGTAAAAGCCACCTTATTGTAGATTTAGGCTCTGCAAACCCACATGGGTGCAGTTATTGTTATGAGCTATGTGAGGCAGGCAGGATTGCAGGACCCAAAATGCAGACTGGTGGACAAAACTAAACTTGAAATGCAGCTTTATGCTGGACTACAGTTATACAAAAACCAAACTGGATTGAATAGGAACTAAACAAGCAGGCAGAACACACAGCGTGGAATGAGGGAGATCACGACAAAGGACAAATGGTTATGCGTACATACACAAAAGGGCAAACGAGGAAACAGAGCTGAACATAATCTAACTAATGAGACAGGGGAAGCACAGCTGAACATGGAACACACAAGACAAGAGACTGTCAAATTAAAACAGGAAGTAGGAGAAACACACCGGGACGCAGACAGACAAAACCCAGGGAAAACAGGAAGGAGAGAGCGAGGGGCATGCCTGGGGAAACATGCAGCTACACCAGGAGACGAGACAGACTTTACAGGAAGGCATAACACAGGAGATGACGGGGAGGACACACAGAGACAAGACCAAGAACTAGAAATACAGATAACTAAACTAGGAACAAGTCACACAGAGAAAACAATAATGACTTAGGTTGGATATATGCGAAGCTCCGCTGGAAATCCCTAAACTCTATACACTACTGGAGCTGATGAAGCATAGCCGCAGGAGAGTAAACGAGAGTGCATCTGCACAGTCCTGTAAATATGTCTAATTAAGTGATAAAAAAAAAAGCTGGAGTTGGATTGGACCACGGGCATGGAGAGCCTTTAGAAATCCAAGTGCTCAGAAAATGGTCTCAGCTGGCTTCATCTCTACGAGCTACATTAAAATTCAGCATTTTAACACATCATTTATAACAATTCACAAATTGATGTGACACTCTGAAAGGTGCCATTCTGCATGTTGAGTATTTTCACTTTTGACACTTTAAATCCATTTTGCTGCTCAAACATTCATGTATTTCTAAAGCCAATCTGTGAATGCAAAACATCTACAGTCTCTTACTTTGCAGGACTGGATCAGGAACAAACAAATTACATCACTATTTAAACTCTCAATGCTCAGTTTACATAAAGCGCACGTTGTTCAACAACCAGATAGATTCAGAAGGTTAAAGGTTTTTGAAATCTAAAAATAGGATGTTTTTACATTTTGTAGGTGTTGACAAACTAAGAAGGGTCACGTCCTTCCTTTCTTGCCGTGCTCCATTGTTGGCTAAATGTGTAATAAGAATTCCTGCCTTAATCTGGTGCATTTAAAATAACATTCAAAATAACCTTAATGAGTTTTGAAATAATTGCTTTAAGCTGAGAGCTAGCGGCCATCGTGCACTACACAGACAGACATAAAAAGTGTCTGCACAATGCATAGGCCTACAGCGTGGAAGGCATCTCATCTGCATACACTACACCCAATGGTGAGCAGTTAATTACTGAAAAAATGAAACAAAAATGTGTTGTCATTATGCTAAAATCAAAATTGGCTCCCACTGAGGATACATTTCCCCCACACGTGACAGATTGTGAGAACATTTGCGTTTTATAGCTCGCCTAATGTCCTTTGCAGCCAGAGAGACAGAGAATAATCTGAGCTTCCATAGAGCCATAGGAGCAGATCAATAGGATGTGCTCACTATGATCATTAGAAAAGGTTATTACCATGTGCAAGAATAGATCCATGCTGCCGGTTCCTGACATTGTGCATTCTGTAGCCATTACGGATCTTGAAGATCTGAGTAAAACGTGAATCAAATGTTAAAAATATATATAGATGCATTAAGAGATAATAGATCTTCCCCTGGAAAAGAAAATGGAATAAAAGCTGCAGGAAACAAGTGCATTTCAGGGTTTTAATTTATGGGCATCACAATGAGGAGAACAAAAAGCACACAAGGAGAATGACAATAGAGCTACTGTTCGTAGACAAATAATAGATAAAGGCATCCTGTAGCCACAGGCCTGTGGTCTCTGGTGGTATGAACAGATACAGCCAGTGCTGCACTGCTCTCTAGTGGTCAAGTGAGGAATGTAAGGAATGTGTGCACACTCAAAAAGCTGTTTGCTACAAATAAGTGATGACTCCTATAAAATCTTTCATCTTTAGTATTAAAAGTTTTGCTCCTATTAGCCTGACTGGAAAGACAAAAACCCACAGAGGGGATGAGAGATCATATCACACAAGTATCACACACGTCATAGTGGGTAAGCAGAGGAAAGCACATTAATTCTGTTGTTGCTTATGTTCACAGCGTGCAGTAATAATCAGTTTATTTATTTCAACATTATTTTTTACAGTATATTAAGTAGTTTGAATGACCTTTAAAAGTAATTTCAGTTCCCAAATGAGATTCTCTCTTTGACACCAAACGGGTGGCAAAGAATAGCATAGTCACTCATTTTGGAGCAGAAGAGATGAAAGAAGAAACACTATGAGTGCAGTTTAAAGATTTGTGGTATGTGAAGGACAGGTACACTGTATCCAATTTGAATGGAGCTTGTTTGTTTCGATGTTTTCTTTGTACACTTGCGTATTCCTTTTTTATGACAAGAACTATTACAATGTTTTTAGTGTGAGTACTAGAAAAACATTTCTCTTTGAGCAGCAGACAATTTGTTTTTATAAAAGATGCCAATAGAAATGTCAAAAGTTAACAATATGTGGGACAAGGGGACACAATACTGTGCAATCTTACATAAAGTGGGAGTTTTGCTGTAGTTCAAAAACTTCCAGTGCAGAGTAAAAAAGCATTTGGAAAGTTCGCTTTGAGAGCAGCTTTGCCCAAAATGTTGAGGATTAAATGTAAATCCTGTTTCTGTTCTTTGAAATTTGCACAAATACTTTGAACACATACCGACATTAATGTCACTGCACAAATCAGCATATTGTACTTCCCGCCCTGAGTGTGTGCCTGACTCTGTGACAGTAAATAATCCAGCTTGAATTGCAAAGAGCTTTCTTATCCTTTCTTTATTGGATTAAAGTCATCACAAGATTTGAGTACAAAACATTTACAAAGCTTCCAAAACGTCATTCAGTGTGTGCAGACACCTGTTCATCTCTCACTCAATTTATATGATCAGAATTTAAGCAAATACAACCAAAGATATAAAAATACAGAAGAGATCGGCTTACAAATAGGTTTAGAAAAATATGTAAAAACATGAAGAGAAAGATAACGACATATATAATAGTATCTCTATATGTAATATTAAGTGAAACCAGGAAGAAGGATTCGATCCATGGTTTAGTGTATGCAGTAATACTGTGGGTGGTTAGTTCCTGACCAGTAGGTGGGACTAAAGAGCCAAAACGTTCTCCAAGTAAAGGTGGAAAACCGATTTTAGAAGTGTTTTGAAACACTGAAGACAAAGAACATCGTGAAAACAGTTACACAGCATTTGATAAAGTGGTAAAGTCATACATTTTGACGTGTGCTTGAGCTACCTTTAAACTGTCAGTGCGTTATTTTATTTACAAAGCAGCAAACCTGTTGCTAAGTATTTCACGTCTTTGCTTTTGCTTGACGTTTCAAGAGGCCTCGATCTTCATCTCCATCCCAGACGGCATCGAGCAGCCAACCTAAAGCGCGGCGACAGTCGATCAACCTCCCGGTGTTTTGAGCAGTAACTGCAGTAACTTTAGTTTTTCGGATGGTTTGATGTCAAAGAGGAAGAAGGCTTCGCCCTCAGATCATGAAGGACTGAGTTTGTTTGTAGTGCTTGAGCTGTAGGGAGCAGAGAGACACACAGTGACACATTTCCTTTCATTAGCTTGTGCCTGGTGTTATCGGAAACTTATCAACAGTTGCATTCCAAATGAATGCATGCAAAACAAGCCCTGATTTGATAACGAGGCCTTTGATCACTCACGTTGCGGGTGGGAGGAGGAGGAGGGTTGTAGGACTTGGTGCTGAAAGGCAAGGGGGAGGGCAGTTTAGTCAACACTTATTATTTTGGAATAATAATAAGTGCAACATGCAGGGCGGAAGAAGAAACACTCACCTTTTTGTTTTCTTGCTCTCTGTTCGAATAAAAAACAAAGAAAAAATTAGTCAATACATGAAAATTTGTCAGTTGTGGTCACAATACCTCAATTCTGGGAGAACTCGAAAATACAGAGATTTACTCAAGTAGTCATTTTTATGTTTAACTGAAGTTTTTCTTATTAGTTCTGTTGGGTCTCTACCAAACCCTTCATTTAGTCACCAAATGTGTCTTTCTGTTATTTGGTGATAAGTCCGGTTGTGCAAAGAGAGTTTATTGGTGAAAACAACTGCTTGCAGGAAACAGTGATAAGAAGAGCAGTAAAACAGTAAATCTGAAAGCAGTAAAATCCAAACAATTGAAAGGTTTTTTTTAGGTAAGGCTTTAAATGCAGGAAGGATTCTTTCACGACAGCATTTTTAAATGGTGACACTATGTTACTACATATATCAGAGTTGTTTTCTCTGTGCTTCTCACCTTATTGTTGTTTTCAAAACATTAGCATGAGCATTAGAATTACAACCTGATCAGAAGAATAACCAAATACTTTCTGCAAAAACTATTCATTTTAATATGAAAGACTGGCAAAGAGGACCTCTTCCACCCAAATAGCTCTTGGATATTTGATAAAGTACCGTGTTCAGAAACACATACACGTGATTGTTCTCATTCTAATTTTGTTTACAATTAAAGTTTGCATTTGTCAACTCAATCCTGTTCCACGGCCATAGACGAAATTCATCTAATCTGGTATAAAACAGTATTTAAACATTTTTTTTTAATAAAATGCTGAATCCATTGCTGACAGCCTAAAAAAATAGCTGCTCACTCATCTGGTTGCTTAGGTGCAGATCAATAAATTGACATGCACTCTGAGAAACAAGTCCAAATGGATGGACTAAATATAAGTGAAGGTGTGAAAAAACAACACGTTCTCACTCCCAAAGCGTAACATTTTACGCTAGGTGACAAATCATCAGTATATTACGCTTTTGGTCACCCAACACATCCCTATATTACGAGTTCGAGAACCGTTTGGAATGAATCTACACATGTACGTTTATTTTACTTAAATCGCTTTGGAAAACACTATCTAATATGATTAAGGTGGTGGTTAACGTTAGGATTAAGGTTAGGGTTAGGGCTGGAATACACAGCTGGGTTGTGTGTTACAGCGGGAGTGTCATTTGATTTCGTGCACAATCCGGTGCGTAGCATAGGAGCGCAGACGGTCACCTTTCGCATTGCCATGGAACGCCTCGGGACGTGACAAATCGTTGGCATATTACGCGAATAATGCAGAATTGTTACATGACAGGATGCACTCGAGTGTTTTTCTCTCACACCTAAACGTGCTCTTTTATCCTGTTTTCCTTCTCTCACCCCAACCGGTCACAGCAGATGGCCCCGCCCCTCCCTGAGCCTGGTTCTGCTGGAGGTTTCTTCCTGTTAAAAGGGAGTTTTTCCTTCCCACTGTCGCCAAAGTGCTTGCTCATAGGGGCTCATAGGATTGTTGGGTTTTTCTCTGCATGTATTATTGTAGGATCTACCTTACAATATAAAGCTCTTGAGGCGACTGTTGTTGTGATTTGGCGCTGTATAAATAAAATTGAATTGAATTGAACACATTTGTGGCAGCACTGCACTACTTACTTTTGCAGCAGCCTCGGTGTCGGCAGACACACACACAGATGCAGCAGAAAAGCATGAACGCTGCCAAACCTGCAGCACCTGCTATTAAAATCGTCATATTCAAAGGATCTGGAAGCAGCAGAATCAGATTTATTTTAATATTTGGTCTCCAGAGCGTGATGCATAATCTCCAGTGAGTACTTTCTTAAAATACTTACAGTCAATAACTTTGAGTTGTTGGGCCACACAGCTCTTGGGTGCCCCCACACTGTTGGAGGACTCACAGCGATACATCCCTGCATCCACCTTGGACACACTTTTAAACTTCTGCTCCAGACAAACAGAGGCAGGCGGCAGGGTACACGAAAGGAATAACAGTTGTGTTTTTGGACCCTTGTATAACATTCTGTACATTATATTATATTGTATTTGAAAATTTTAGGTAGCACTCACCAGTGTGCCCTTGTTTGTGTCAATGCTGTAAGGAGTCTCTCCCGTGGCTGTTAGTGCCTTGTTGTCTTTGTACCAGCGGTAGGTAGCGGGAGGCACACTCAGTTTGTCCTTACAGAGAAGCTCCAGGCCTGACCCTACAAACACAGAGCTTGGCACGTTGCAGGAAGGGACATGAGGCGGCACTGAGAGGGGGGAAAGACAGAGAAAGGTAAAACTATATTTTTTTTTAATATATTATGTTTTCAATTTGTAAGACAACACGAAAGTCTCCCTACAAATGCTTAAAATGTTAACATCTGCATAGTGTAATATCACTTAATAGACTTTTTTAGGCAAAACTAGAGAGGTCTGATGATTCCTTTTGTTATAAATTATGTCAGATTGATGTATTGATCTGGAAGTGCATTTCCTGCAGCCACCAACCAAGTGTCTATTCAGCCAAACATGTTTCCCATACATCACTCCAGAGATATCAGTCAAAGTGAGGCTTTCACACGTGCCAGCTGAGAGGCTGCCAACCAGGAACTCCACCAACAAAAAACATTTGTGCGATCATTCTTTTATCTTTACAATGTCCACAAATGACCAACATGTGAGCATCGACCTTCATTGAAATCTAACAACGTAAAAGAAACTGTGTGTAGTTTTACCACAATATGATGACACGTGTGACTTCACAACCATGTTATTTTTGTGAAAGTATATATGTAATCACCTCAACTGACATTTAGATTTAATAATAATGAGGCTTTTTTCAATAAGTTGGTGAATAATCTTAAAGAAAATTAAACTACACTGGCACAAAACAGTCATGCTGTTGCAACATATCCTAATGGAAGAGATTATAAAGTTTATAAGAAGTTGTTATTTGCACAATTTCTGTGGTTTGCCAAATATATCTCACATACTCTGTAAACTCGTTACTTCATGCTGCAAACTGCAAAACCCCCAAAATCTAACTTCTCTTTGGAAATGTAAATAAAATGGGAACAATATCAAAGGGCATCCAGAGGTATTTCTATGTGCATGCTGGACCTTCACGTGGAAACTAGAAGCTTGGATCTTTGTGCTATGGCAGGAATGCATAAACTACTGAGTCGTTATCCTCGAACCTCAGAGAAACAACCATATCTCTTCGAGCAGGAATGCACAAAATAGTCAATTCATTTATAATTTCTGAAAGCTGAGTGAGGCAATGTAGACTTTTGCCTGACAGCCTTGAGTTCAAACGTTCAGTGCAGAGTATATTCACATGTACCGCACAGGGAAGAACACAACATTGTGTTTCCTTTAAAAGTACCATATGTGTCTTGATTAAAATCACAATGAAAATAAAGTATATATATATTATTATACATTATACAAGTTATGAATCTAATGTTACTTTTCCCATTTTTTCTCATTTCAAGCTGAGGATGTGTCAAAGAAACCATTTTTACCTATTTCTAAAAGATACGAAATAGCTCTATTTTCTCTTTGAATGAAATGTCAAAATGTCTTCGACATCACAAAGTTCATCTTGATCTGAAGTGAGATAACCTAACATCCCACATCATATAATACCACACTTCACTGATGGCTAGTGGGTGGCTGGCCTAACATTCATAGCAGCAGGGTGGCTGATTTGATTTCATCTGGCTAGCACTTTTACACATTTAAGTTTTAAAAATGTTGAAACACAAAAAATCAACCTGATTTATTAATAGATTGTCATTTTTAACACCTATGCACTACCAAGCCGCTCGGATATTGTGTAACAGCTCGTTTGCGCTCACCATTTTCGGTGTGGTGAACAGCACCGTACAACAAAAGTGGCAGAGAAGATCTCGGGGATTTCATTGGATGTGTCCAAATTCAGGGATCGCATCCTCAAAAGGACGTAAAGACAGAGACGCACAGAAGTTCTTGGCTGTTAAACTGGACGCTCTGCTCCTGTCACCTAGCAACCATTACCATGTATCTTGGACGTCAACGTTTGACAGAAATGGAGAAAATCTTTGTTCTATATCATTTTTTTTTACTTAATGGAGAAAATTATGATGTATCTGTTGTCAAATGAACACGACATTTGAATTTGCACAACATTTGTCGCCTCACTGTGATGTAATTGAAGGATGACACACCTTCTGCTTTCAGTTTTGACTTCTTTTCCACATATACGAGCGCCGATGTGGAGGTTTTGCCTGAGTGGAGACACCTGATGTAAACAGTACAGACCTGTGGTGATTTCACTGTCTGTGCAAAACAACCCATGTGCCAAGCATAATGGAGAGTTCTACTAAAGTTAGCATGCTAATAAAGTCATGGTGGTCCAAAGGTTAATGTAATATGGCTATAGCCTGAGATGGGGTAGTTACTCAGAGTAGCACCCTGTACAGCAGTCCAACATAAACGGATCGGGCACTGAGGTAACGGTTATAATTTCCTATCCATAGCAGAGCGGATTCAGAGTGGCTGCTCCATGCTATCAAGAAACTGCTTCTATCGTAAATTACTCCACATATTGCACCTTTAACGACTGTCCTCACCCTAATCTCACAACTCAGGTGAGGGAGGCTTGTGTGAATTGTTTGCAGTTATTTGTGCAATGCAATCACATTTAAAAGATTTGCTGTGAATCCTCCTGATTCCACCAACATGTACGTTATTGTTTCACATGTCACATCACAGGAGTTAAGTGCCATTGACTTGCACCCTGAAATAGTTTAGTGTTCACCTCTTACACAGATCTGTCCTATCCCTATCCTTATGTACGTTTGTAATATATTCATACCAAGAACATTAAGTGTCACAGTGGCCTCTCCGAGGTTGACGTGATCCTCGCTTGCTGTCACCTCACAGCGGTACTCCCCTGAATCTTTCTGAGTGACGGAGTGTATCGTCAGCGTCGCTCCCTCTATCTTAGCCCGTCCAGCGTAAGACCCTAAAGTGCAAAAGACGGAGAATGATGAACAAAGAAAACAATCAAAGCAAAGTGTCAGCAAACATTAAAAAAAAGGCCACACAAAATCTTCTTTATTAAATCAGGTTAAGTTTAAAAACAAATGCGTGCAGTAACGATCCGTCACTCACCTGTGAATTTGTGATTAAAGTAAACAAAAGTCACCCCCTTTCCTTTCTTCTTCCACTCGATTCGAGGGTTCTGATCTTTCTCTGTCTTGAACTCACAGGACAGCACAGCGTCTAAAAGTAAAAGTAAAACAATATTCATCTTTAATCCTTACGTTACCTTTTTTAATGTCTCAAACTAATTGATTTTTACCAACTCATGCACACTCATGACTACGGATGATGTATTTCTTTATTTATATCCATGTACTCTGAAATATATTCTGGTAGTTGCAATTTTCAATAAAGAATAATTATTTGAAAGTGTTCAGTTAACATGAATGTGTTTTTTTAGAGGAGAAAAAGACAGAAATTGGACAATATGATATTAGATATGTTTATATCTAGTTTGTTGTTTTCCTATTATTTGGAATTACAATAGGTTAAATATGAAATATATTTTATTAAGATGAAACAATAAGACTGTGGCCATTTTAAGATAGCAGACGAATTATGTTCAGGAATGTGAAAAACTGCAGTGTTGGTCTCACCAGTGTGCTCGTGAACCTCCACTTTGGGTTTACTGCTGCTTACTGTCACTGATAAACTGACAGGACCTGCAGAAGAGAGAAGATCAGCGTCCTGTGAAAGACCAGTTTTACTCTCAGACCATCGAGTACAATCTTTAAATGTTTACTGGAGCACATAAATGGAAATGTTAAACATCTTTATAGTTTCAGATCAAGGAGCTACATGGTAAACCATCAGACACAAGAAGCTTACTCATATGTAAACAGGACGTTTGCTTAATGCTTGGTTTTTGTGTGGAAGCAGTCGCACTCACACACATTTGACTTTCCAGTCGAAGCCTTAACGCAAAGTATAGAACAGCAGCAATAACCTGTGGGGCTTGAATGTTCTCACAACGCAAAATGTTCTTCACAAGAAAAGTTTCAAACTGCAACTGGTGCCCATAAACATAGTAATACATGCCGACAGAGACAAACAGACACTGAGTGTGGAGCTACATCCTGGTGGTGCCAGGAGCGGTGCTGTGCAGGAATGCAAGTGATGGATGGCCCTCTGACAAGCTGCTTTAAGGCGACCTGATAACCGCCTTCAGTGATCTGTCCCTTCAGCACACGCAATCAAACACCCACGTTTACCTCGACATTAAGCAGACGCCTTCAGAAAGAGATAAGAGAAAATAATTTAGAGTGACACGCCACCTAAAAAATAAATAAACGCTTCAAACGTGGCTGTAAAATGTGACTTTTATATTATTGGCAAGCAATTTTGCTGGAAATAAAGTTTTTATTGTAGAACTTGGAAGCTTCGCAGAGGTTGCTGTTACAGGATACTCCCTTGACATCACGTAAACTGAAGCGGAGCTGCTTTGTGAAACTTAAATGTGTCACGTGACCATCAGCTGTAAGTGTGCTTTAAGTTAAAAAAAAAATTAACATTTGAAAGCAGCAGAGAGGAGACTGGTAGTAAAACTGAATTACATAACAAGCTTGTACTTGAGGATTAAAGATGGGGAGAAAGTGGGCTGGAACGGTCCTTCAGTTAACGAGCAGTTAAATCCGATAAACAGATTAATGCATATTACTGACCAATGAGTTAATTTTTCATGTGCTGTAGACTGACAGTATGGATTATGCTCAGTAATAACAAAATAATGATATCCCACAGCCCACTTATGCTTTTAACGCATCTTTTCTTTTCTTTTTAACGGTGTTCAAAGTTTCAGTCACTCCGTCCAGCATTTAGCGATACAGAAGAGGAGCGAGCATGAACTGAGTGACATTTTTTTAAGTGGCTGGTGATTTCAAATAAAACTTGCAAACAGCTCGAAAAATACGACTAATATGTAGTCAAAACATTGTGTGACAAAGTACTTCTCTGCAGTGTTGCACAAAAGAACTGCTAATAAATGTATAGTTGTAAATGTGAGAGATGGAGAAAGAGGTAAGAAAAGAGAGGACAAGAAGATTTTTACGGGTAGGAAATGGTCATCAAGTGAAATCGGTTTAACTTGAAACTTGAAATTTAAATCTTACATACAATGTCCTAATTGATTTTAGAGTTTTTAAACCCGATTTTGGAATTATACATGTGACAAACTAATTGAAGCTTACAAATTCTATGCTATTCAAATTTGCGTGAAAATACCAGGCAGTCTGGTAAAGTTTAGTGTTGGCTAAACCGGTACGTTTGCAGTATTGTAGTGACGTTTACTGGTGCACAGCAGGCTGTGTTGTCCATGGGTAATGTTAGGATGTATATCAAGGGTAGCAAACATCAGTTTATTTTTCACATGATGATTCTGATTAGACTCGCTCTCTGAATTCTAACTTTTATATTAGCTGGATTGTGTCAACAGCTGAAAATCAGAAACCTTTGCTTATATCTTGTTTTTAAAAAACAGTTAACAATAATGTAGCAGCACAGGTCAGCTGATTAAAACCTCTACAGATTAAAAAATAAATAAAAATTATATTGGAGCCCAAAAAACATCATATTGTAACTTATTTCTTAGTAATTCTTTTTCCAATGCTACACCCAAACTACACCTGCCAAATCCCACTTTAACCCCTGACTAGCGATGCATGTTTCTTGTGTGGCACGTGTGTGTGTGTGTGTGTGTGTGTGTGTGTGTGTGTGTGTGTGTGTGTGTGTGTGTGTGTGTGTGTGTGTGTGTGTTGCACACAAAGCCATTCTTTATGACAGTAACCTTACCCTTCTCAGCTGGCATAGCATACACATGCACAGACATTTGTAAAACACACTTGTGAGGATCTCTGCTGACTGATCCTGAACACCCTGCACTCTTTTATGAATGCATAATAACGGTGTTTTAACACTACATATTTTATTTTATTCAAATGTGCACTTGAAAAACCTAAAACTTAATCCGCTTCTACTATAAAAAAAAGTTAAGTGTTTTAGGTTTTCTACTGTTTTAAGGAGACATTGTAACCTAACTGAAAAACCACCTATGATACCTCCGGTGCAGTAATGAAAAAAATATTTTCAGAGTATATTAAAAGGCAGTGTGTCTAAACAAACAGATTGTAATCGTTTCATCTCTACAAGGACTTTTGGTCCTCACATGTAAATACAAGAAAAATCAAAACACATGCACGTCAAAGACGCAATTAACTGCGTAAAACATGTTGTTTGGACGGCAGCCTTTGGCCTTTAAGATTCCCACAGCAGCATCAAATGCATTTTTTCTTTACTGCTTTTTCATCTCAGTCCAATTAACAACTAAGGGTCAGTCAGGGGCTATCTTCCCTGAAACTCTGGGATCTCAATCTCCTCCGCGGGGGTCACGTGATCCGTCTCATCAGCCCGTGGATCTCGGGTTCAAACAGCATCAGAGCGGGTTCAGTGTAAACATGAAGCCCAGCCACTCCCTGCACAATCTCTACCCCCACTGCACTCCCCAAACACATCGCACCTCCTCCGCGCTGTCTGTGAAATCACGCACAAGCTCTACAACTCACACACTAATAATCAATCAATAAATATCAGAGCCTCGTAAATGCCCGTTTTGACACTTAGCCTACATGCAGTCGTTTCTAAAGTTGTTAATTTGGCCCAGAATTACATTTTGTTTCGGTGGCCTGTTGCAGCTTAATAAGATAAAACTTGAGTTGCATAATCACGTAAGACGATGGTAGGTGTTGTTTTCTTTAGTAAAATAAAGTAGGTCCTTAACTGTTATATTGCAAAAAAAATGAAAGAAAGAGGAGAAAATGCGTAATTACATATTTATAAGTCTGTAAAAAGGTCTGACATTAAAATAAATACATGCATAAAACATGTAGTTCAACCTCACATCGCGTATGGATACATGTTTGCACTGTTACTGTGTATAAATGTAACGTAAAAATTGGCTGACTCTAAAAGCTGCACACACTCTCTGATTCAGTATCAAAACAGAAATTGTTGAAGTTTTGAACACAATAAAAAGCTCACTGTGCAAAATGGTGATGAGCAGAGGCAGCACCAGCATCTTCATGGCTTTTCTCGGGTGTCGGAGCTCTTTCCTGAGGTCTGTCGGTGTCCGTGGGACTGGAGCAGATGAGTTTTACTCTAAACTCTCTGCAGCTTCTTCAAGTTTCATGTGCAACGGCCACGTGCGCGCTCACGTATCCCGGACAACTTACGGGGCGCGTGCACAAGTTCAGGGTGACCACCCCCTCTTCTCAGACAAAGCTCTCAGAGGAAACATGAGCCTTTCTTTCTGACAGGGGGACCTGCCCGGCTGTAGTAGTATCGAGTAGTAATGTAGTAGTAATGAGAAAGGAAGCTTTTGAATGGTTTCTTCAGCCATTAAACACAAAAGCGTTTGAGGATTCGTTACATGAAACACATTTTATTAACTACATTGTCACTAAGCTCTTTGGAATTTTTTGTACATCACATCATTTTTGTAGTCTCTAGAGACCACAGACTGTATATAAAAGATGGAAATAGATTGTTCTTCACACTTTGAAGCCTCAGCCTAAAGGGTTTTAAAATCCCTGTGAATATTTCGTGAGTCAAAATATTTTTCGGACTCACGTATTCTTAATGCAGCAGTTCAACTGACCATGTCATTTCACTGGCATTTATTTTTGTAACCTACTGAGATTTTTCCAGTTTCTTGTGTCGGAACAACAAGTGCGCTCATAGGCTCTCTGAAAGGATTTACCTGCCTCCACAGATGTGCTCCCAAGAGTTCAAACTGGCATACTGAAACATATACGAAAGCGGCCGTGATCCAGCTTCAACTGCTGGATCAAACTATGGAATTCTCCCAGTTGCTGCTGTCTCGTGAAAATGGGATGAAATCAGAATCCCCATTTCCTCCTTTTCTTGTTTAAGAACGTGTTGAGTTTCTTGTGTTGGGTGTGTATATAACTCACACGGCAAGTTCCGATCTGTAAAATTGAGAATTTCATGTTGATTTTTCACAACGTGTTCAGTGTATAATGGCCTTTAGTTTTACCTGCTGCCATCACAGTATTTTGACACCATATGTGAGTGGGTGAATTTGATTGAGAGGGTTGACTGCTAATTTATCCACTAATGCTGGCTAGCAAGCTGAATCATTTTTTCCCAGTCAGGCAACAAAGAAACATCAAAATAATATTTACATGTTTGTTTTGCCTTTCGCTGACTAATATAGGGTTAGCCACTAATGATGACTTAGACCTCAGGGGGTTGAAAGGTTCCAATAGCAACAGTTTAGTGACTGCAGAGGTGAAACCTGCTGACAGCTGCCTGGTCTGGACAGTCAAAGCAGCCACACCAAAACTCTAGTATCAAAGTGGATGAATTATAGAAAAAACATTTTCCCAAAATAAAGTTGTTATGAAAAGGAGAAAGTAGCTATAGATACTAAAACTTTAGGAGCCAGCTTCAAGTGGGCCTGACACGTCAACTTTGGCTTCAGTTTCTAGCACTTAAGGTTGTTGCTTGGTAGAGACAAACGACTGAACGAAAGCTAAAAATTACTGGATGTACATTCATCGTGTAAATTATTTTTATATGTTATTTATCCTTTACACAAATATGAGTGAGAGCAGGAGTGAAAACATGGACCATTTAAAGTATACAGATAACTGTGTTTTTGTTTGTCAACTCCCAAAGATGATCTTTGATTGATATGATCACAGGACGGGTGTCTTAAGTGTCAGTTGGTGGAATGTGCTTTGTCTCATGCACATTTTGAATCAATGATCTTGGAGCAATTATTTATTTAAAGCTAAACTTTGAAGAAACTGTGAAGCTGGGTTCAACAAAGAGCTCCAGACTCTGTCGTGCTTGAGGAACCGTTTGCATTTCCACGCTCATTAAATCATTGTGATTTATCTGTAAAGAACAGAAACTCATGCAGTCAAATCATTAAATCTTCTAACAGGATCATCGGTAAGCTGAACCGCAGCTAAACCCAGCATCCCTGTAGGATGCCAAGCAGTCACAGCAGTTGGCTGGTTTGATTTTAGTTGATGTCTTGCACGCTTTACGCAATGACGTTGAGTTTCCTCCTTCTCAATGAAAGACAACATGCTTTAAAGACAGTTTTGTTCCAGTAGCCATCACTCTGATGAACGAATCATAGCTTTGGTATCCTTCACGATTCTGTGTGAATTCTCTATTATCATTATCATCCAAAACCTACCTGGCCCTGCATGAAAAAACAACTAAAACTAATGACTGTTTGTGCCAACCTTGGAAGAAAGACCTGCAATCAATAACTGGCAATGACTCTTTCACGTCACTGTGGAGTATTTTTGGTCCATTCTTCGTTGCAGAATTGCTTTAATATAGCCACGACAAAGGGTTTAGTTTGTCGGTCATACCAAAGCACCTTAATCTGATTTAAGTCCAAACTTTGACCTGGCCGCTCCAAGAACCTTCATTTTATTTATTTATTTATTTATGTTTTGAGACATTGAAAGCGGGCTTGCTGGTGTTTTGGATCATTGTCCTGCCGTATAAGCCAAGGGACCCAAACTAATGGTTGGACATTCTCCTTCAGTATTTTCTGGAAGAGAGCAGAATTCATGGTTTCATCCTGAAGCAGCAAAGCAGCCCCAGACCATCAAACTACCACCACCATCTTTGACTGCTGGTATGATGTTCTTTTATGATATTCTGTGTTAGTTTTACACCAGATGTGACCCGACTCAAACCTTCCTAAAAGTTTAATTTTGTCTCATCAGTCCACAGAATATTTTCCCAAAAGTCAAATCATCAGGATGTTTTCTGGCAAATGTGAGTCGAGACTTTGTGGAGTTTTTTACTCAGCAGAAATCTCCCATGGATGAGACAAGTGAGGCCTGCAGTTCTTTTAGATGTTGTTCTGGGTTCTTTTGTGGCCTCCTAGATGAGTTGAAAGTGCGCTCTTGGAGTAATTTTGGTAGGTTGGCCACTCCTGGGAAGGTTCACCACTGTTCCAAGTTTTCTCCAGTCATGAATAATGGCTCTCACCGTGGTCCACCGGAGTCCCAAACCATGCAGCAACTCCAGAATTGCAGTTGTAGAGGTAACTGTACTGTAAAGGGCTCTGTTCATGAAAGGCTTTTATATCGTACAAATAAATGTATTTGATGCCTTTGTGTTTCTACTTATTTTAAGTATTTCTTGGGAACATGTAACCCTTTGCCTGAATATAAAGAATGGAAATCACAGAGGTTGGAGTTTTCCATATGTCTGCAGTGATGAGCCTAAGTCGGAGAGAAGTGGCAGCTGCTGCTGAGCTACTGTGTCTCTGGCTATTAGGTTTCTCACCACCAGCGCCCACACAACGGCACATTGTCACTCATTCTGGTTAATGTGCACACATGCTTACATTTGTGGCCATACGCACACACAAAGACACACACGGGGGACATACATCCAGACACGTGTGCGTAAGTACACACAAAGAGAAACAGTGAAACACTAACTCCCTAAATCTCAGCTGCAACACCTGTTCACAATCGACAGTCCCAGCTGCTCTGCTCGGAGCGGGACACACTGATGTCATGTAACACACACATGCACATGCATAGCAGCACATCTCAGCAACCACTGCTCACTTTACACAAACATACAGAAACAAAGTCAGTCAGATAGTGAATCTCAGAGGACGGGTGACTTTCAAATGCACGGTGACCTTTGATAACAGCCAGCGGAGCAGCTGTCCACCTCACACTTTACTACAACAAAAACCTGATTTGTTCTTTGTAAGAGCATAACCAAGAGATGCTTCAGGGAAACCTGATCCAGCTATAACTGTAAGTTTTATTAAAAAGCAAAGTTTTAAACATATTCTTAAAAGTAGAGTGGTTGTCTGTCTCCTGAACCCAAACTGGGAGCTGCCAAAGTTATCAGAGATCCCAGCTCTGTTTTGTTGATATCACTCAAACCAACAACCTTGAGCCACACTGTGAGATCAGGACTGTCGCTGTGCTCACCCTTGCTCTCATCACAGAGTTTCTAAAATATTTAATGCAGTCATTCATACAAAAAACAAAGAGAGACTGCAATAATCCCCATGGTGTTCAGCGTAAGAGTATCCAGCATACTCTTAGAAAGCAGCAGTCTACTGGCCGACGATCTCTTTCTTAATAAATCAAACAGCGACATTCAGCAACTTGTAAAACCTGAACATATCACAGAGGATCAGGATTTGACCACAGTCCATGAAAATTGAGCGACACAGCTGCCATTTAATGTTTTGCTTTGGTTTGGTGGAAACTGAATGGAGTGAAAATCCAAGTGACAACAGGTGCACTGGAGAGGCAACAACACGACAACCCTTCCAAAAAAGGGAAAGGCTTTGAAGCTGGTGGCCACAGACTGGCTCTTTCCTGACTGATTTTTCTCTACTTTTGCTTTCTGTTATTGTCTGTCACTGCTGGTAATATGAGACGGTCCCTGCAGCACATTCAGGATCCACAGATAGTGCAGCTCCTCCAGGATGTCACATCCATAGGTGCCTGACATGTTTCGGTTGGATAAACTGTAATTGCTTCCATTAAATCCATCAGAGATTTTCCTTCATTTGCATTTTTTCCCGACTGACTACTTAAAGAAAGTCACTGTAAGGGTGTGAGAACCTTTTCCGTAGATGTGCATTATGGGGTTCACTGCTTTTTGCTGTATTGTTGTATGCTTTAATGGTAGAAGTGCAGAGAATGAGAAGCCTAAAAACATCAAAACAAGCTCTATATCTGATAAACACCTTTAGTTTTTACTGTGAAGGGATGAAGATATTATATTTGCATGTGAACTAGATGGAGAATATTTACATTTCGTTGCACTGAATATTGATTTTATTTGCTTTTACTGCAAATTAAAAGCACTGGTCCTGATTTTGTCCAAGAGAGAAAATGATAATAGTAATAATAAATTAATAATCAGTATCTGACTGTGTGGTGGGTTATTGTGGAGACACATGACAATTATTCCTGTACAAACTTTTGATGTTATAGCTTGTAAGGTTAGTTTGTTAGGTAAATATCAACATGCCTTACTAGGAAACTATATACTTTCATACTGTATTTCTTTAAGACAGTCTTCAGCTTTTACTACTCAGTTGTAAAAGGCTGATGAAGTACTGTCGTCACC